TAAAAAGACAAATCGTTCTCTGGTAATATTTATGAATCTAGGATTACTCGTACCTGTAAATGGGCAAGGGCCTGGTTCCAATTACTTCTCCCACAAGCAGCATTTGAATCACGGCGGAAGTAGCATTACTGTATGGCCAGGCGGTCATTAACGCTGGCAACAAGCCGGTTTTTCCTCGGATTCGTCTTCATTATAACAGAAATTGCGTTCGCGCGTAATAGACGGAAAATTAATCCCGGGAATCCTCGGCGTCTTTTTCGAGCACGAACCTCGCGCAATTTGCATCACTTAACCATGTTAATATCGCGCTTACGCCGGTATTGCGGAGGGCCCGGGGGGGGAAACGCGTGGTCGTTTGCGGCTACGGGTAAAACCGCGAAGATCGACACGCTTTGCATAAGCGTTTCGACTTCCCGTTTGTCCATAGTCGTCGAACCGGCACGACCCGGGCGCAGGGCCGCATGAAAACGCGGGCAAATTACGTTTTTCCGTTTCTCCGTTTGCCTTTCATTCCTTTTAAAACGCGGGCGTTATGGCGCGAAGCCACGGGACCGATGCTCTCTGGCACGCGAAACGTGATACTTTTCCATCTCCGCGCCCGTGTCGCCGCCTAAACTCTCGACCGGCACGAAACGTGTACCACCGCCGCCGCCGCGGCGGTCGTTTACTTTTTTGCCCTGTGCAACTCTCATTTTGATCAATTTGAGTTTTTTGTCGGGGCCGGTGACTTCAGCAACGAACTTCACGTACCTCTTTTTTCTTCGCCCCCTTTCTTTCCATTCTTATAAGTAAATTATCTTCTTTTTTCACTCGAGAAAGTAATCTCGTTTTGTACTAAATTGGTGCATATAAAGACGTAGCGTATGATACTGTTTCTAAAATCATTTCGAATTAATTCGCTTCCGCTGTTCTATAGGAATTTATACTTTACATTTTTAATCTCTGTTTAACTCCGTCGTCCGTCCCAGTCATTCCGGGGTCTGTAGTGAGTCACTCGACCGGGGCCCGAGCTTCCGTGACGTCCGAACACAGAACCGTCCGAGGTGACAGATTGTTAGCCAGAGGCTTCACCCTTCCGACGGAGTTTCAGGCTTTTTCATCCGCGAGGCGATTTGCACGCCGAACGATTCGCGATTTCGATTGGGAGAGATTTGTCACAGTTCCGTGTTTCGAGCAGGTGCAATCCGTTCAGCCTGCAGGCAGTCTTTAAATTAAAAGAGAGAGCACGAGACGGGCAAAAATTCCGAATAAGTTTTCGAACGCGTTTACGTAAAATTGAAATTGGTAGCGCATCGTGGCAACTTTTGAATCGACAACCTTCGCAGAATAAAACTGAATGGTAGGGTCAGAAAAGGCTCGTCAGAGGCTCGCACGCACAAAACGCGGATATAAAATCGTCTGTCCCGGTAATTAGCAGTCGTCAGCGAGACGCTACGGTGCCTTTCACTGCGCGAGGGAACAAGTTACGATCGCTTGATTACTAAATATCCACAACGAGAGACTCTCTGATTAACCGGCCCGTCGACTCATCGGGGCCGCTTTTGAATCCCCCTCCTCACTCTTACCACCCGAATGAATCGCCAATGGTAGATGCAAAAAAGGTTTCTATATAGTACGTACTTTTTTTTCTAACTTCAGTATTTAACGGGTTAAGTATCATTAATCGGCGCTCTATTGGTATTGACAAAATTCACGCGTTTCGTCTAAAATGTTTGTGGCTGCGTGGCTAATCGTAGAACGGCACGTGACTGATGGTTAGCGACGTCTGATCGATTCGCGGTGAAAAACAGCGTGAACGAAGCTGTTGAGCGACACGTTTGTCGCGTGTCGTCAGCCAGGCTGCACGTAGAGCGTGGCTCGTTCCTGATACGTGTCTGCCGATCGATTAACCAGCGTACGTCCGTTATCCGGCGTCGCGGTCACGGTTCGTTCGCGCTCGTGGGATACGCGCTAATTTAGAATCGCGGTGCGTACGAAACTCGCCATTTCACGAGGATACGTTGGCCGCGGGTTCGCCTCGTTACTAAATGATTCGCGGTAGACAGGCTCGCTCGTCTTTTGTTCGCACGCGGCCGGGAGTGATTCGCTGATGAACGACTGATTTGATATCATACGCGTGTGTGGCTTGTGTGATTTTGTAACAGCCGTAATTACGGTTACCATTTAATTAGACGATCGAGTCGAAAGATTGTGCACCGTGGAATTACCAAACCAAACGCAGTTCCTTCTTCTTATTTCTTCTTTCTTTTCGGCGTGTCGTACCGATAATGAATTAACGATGGAGCCGACGATCCCGGAAGCGAGCTAACGAATGAACAACGCGAACTATTATTTAAGTCTAATTGATGACGGTTTGTGGGCCGTTCTACATTGATGCTCATCGATAATCCCTAATGATCGCAATCTTCACCGCTGTGGGGCACGAAATCGAGCGTCGATCCTTCCCGAATACAAACACTAGGTAAACGGATTAAGAATGTTTATTACTCGTACGTGACCGAAATTTCGAGTCGTCGATCGCTGCTCCCAATAGCTTGGTTTTTACTTTCGTTCTTGCGACAGAATAATTTCAAACTACTCGCCGACAGACGTTCGCAATGAATATGAAATAAACGATCACGGGATCGATTGTTAGAACTGTTGGTGTTGCGACGTTTAAGTTCACAGTGACCGCGGTGCAGCGACGCGTCACAAAGGTGGTTAATCCTGACTGGGAGATCCTTAAGGCTGCTCCGATCCGAAGCCTGGCTCGCCCGTATCTCACGGTCGAGGGAGTAGTAGAAGGCACGAAGTACAAACGCACCCGCGCTCCGATGATTAACAACCCGGGTTCCAGCCGCATATCTCAGGAACCCCGGCTGGCTAATCGATTAATATACGATATCGAGCGGCGCGCGTCCCACGGCCATTGTTTGTTGTTAATTATACTGATACATCTATTCGGAGCGATCGCCGGCAACGACCGCCCGTCGTCCCGGCATTCTACGCCGACCGGGATTTGAATCTTAACTTTTGACACGTATCAAGCATCTCTTCGAACCGAGGGAGAAAAGAAAAAGAGAGAGGATATATTGAATCGAGGGTATCGTACATCATCCTTCGTTGCGAGTTACCCCGCTGTCATTGTGCTTGTTACGCTAATCGGACGTCAACGATGCTCCTTTTGATAACGCTATCTCCGATCGGTTTTCGAAAAAGAAACAACGGTTTAAAGAACCATTTAAAAGCGAACACGTTTGTTTTATAATTGACTCGTGAGCAACGGGACGAACGTTTGAAAAGTAAAAGGCAGGAAGTACAGTTAGGTCCTACGACTTCCGGAGGACACGCGTCGCCGGGGTCGGTTCGAATTTCGTTTCGCTTTCGTTCGGGACGGGTTAAACAGCTAAATCGTCGGCTAATTGGCGAACTAGGAGGGAACGGGTCGGTTCGATGATGCGTGCGGCACGCCGCGGTGTCGCGTTAATTACCGAGCGTTGCCCAGGCTCCTCCTTCTTCGCGCGGGCTGGATGGATGGATTGCTTAACACTTGTCACGCCTCGCTAATTAACATTCAGTCATCTCCCTCTCGGAAGTTGACTCTCTCTTTCTCTCTCTCTCTTTCTCTCTCGTTCCCCGTCGCTCACTCGCTCGCTGTCGAAAGAGGCGAAGCGAAGCAGGTGGAAAGTCGTTTAATATTTATCGACCATCGCGCGCGACCCCGTTGCCACCTCCAAGCCCTTACAGTCGATTAGAATTCGTGATGCCGCCTCGCGGTTCGCGGGAAATATTAGAATACAACGCCGTGATTACCAATCCAAACAAAACGCTTTTGGAACATCATTCAGAATACGTATTACGATCTGGCTAAAAATTAAGTAATCGTTTCAATGGCAACGGTATGTATCTACTGTCGAGTAATAGAATTCGATATTGTCAGTTTTTAAAACGTCGTTTGCATCTGCAAGTTTGGAATACCAAATGCAGAACGTAGCGTCCTGTCAAATCTAATCTGTACTTTTGATCAACCGGACGACCCTGCCTGTTCGTGACCGCTATTATTATATCCCCCTGCTTCCTGACGATGCACACAAATTCGCTTCTTCTGAATGCATTTAGACGTGCCTATTTTTACTTGGTACAAACCGTCGAGACACGATTTACGCTGGAGTTACATGTTTACTGCATCCAGTTGTTAATTTGTTTTGACCGTTGTAAGTTTGGGTCGGTGGTACCCAATGAATCATAATAAGTCACTGCGTCGCGGTATCTAATGAGTCGATTAGCAGGCGCTGCACCACCGAGGAAACTTCGTCGGCCGTTTATTACATCCGATGACCTACCTAGCGGCTCCTATTAGACCCGCGCTCTCGCCTTGAGTGAGACGTTTACAAGCTAGCCGTGGATGCGATACAGCTTGCCACCTTTTACGTTCCTATGCGATTCCGCATTGGCAATTAGATCGGCACGCTTCGATACCAGATGATCGAGGAAATCTAATAGTTATTTCACCGCGGAATACCGTTTAACTAAATAATCGAACCTCGGGTAATTCTCTATCTGAAAACTCTGTGTAACGCGGAATGAAGATATTATACGTCCGTCGATAGAATCGTTGGACGCGGCGCAAATTGCGAGAGTAATCCTGCCAGTTCGAAATTACTTAACGTGTAGCCTCTATTAGCTCGGATAGCCTGGACGCGTGTATGCAAATTGAAAAAGGTAATGAGCAACGCGGCGGCCGCTGTCGTTCGTCGATCGTCCGGCGATTACCGCAAAAGTTATTACCAGAGGGGAACGCGGGGTGATCACGGCCGCTTTCAAATTGTCGTGAACACACAATCCGAACGAGCGCGTAATGATAGCTCCGAGGCAAAAAACGCGAATAAAGATCCGGGGAACGTCGAGTTTCTTCACGGTTGATCATCGAGAATCTCGGCGTTGCTTAATTGCCCGATAGAACCAAGAATTTCTGGAGGAACATTCCTCTTGATCAAAACTTTTTGGCTTCGCTGTTTCAGAATCCTGCGAGCAGCCGGTTGCGGTCAGGCCTTACGGTGAGTCACTCGCTAATCCTCGTTCAAATTGCAATACCGCCAGGCATTCGGGCCGGTGCATGTGAAATGTTATCAGGATTCGGTATTATTACTGCATCTAACTTGATCAGCTGCTTTTAGCCATTCTTATGTTATCAAATAGTTTCCTTTTTCTAAATGCATGAATACAATGTCTTCTGATATGCATCAATTTTCATTTGCGATTTGTACTAATGAACGTAATAGAGATTTTCGAGCAATTGAAACTCATGGAACGACGTTTCATATGCACTAACCCGACCATTTTTATAATACGGTATGATATAGTGAGCCAAGAGTAAATTTCATACGATTGCGAAACCTCGAGCGGCTCGCGATGTAACAGCCTCTTCCCACTCCTCGGCTCGGTTTCCCCTTTTTCTCTTTATTACCTAGAAACCGCACCGCGGTTTATGCAAACGCGTAAATTAGACCGGATTCCCGGAACGAACGTTTCAGATAGAAAGTACGATCGAGCTTGGTGATTTAATATTTTACGTCCTCTTACGTCGATCGGTTCCTGTTGAAAGTTTTCTATTAAATCTTTTTACAGTAAATGTATTAAGCTAAAGGGACGAACGAGGCATAAATTCGTTTAATGATCGCCGTCGTTCAATGAATTCTTAACACGTTCCGATAGAATCATTAAACAAGTTATTATATGTACGCAGTTCTTATTGGCTCGTGTTGTGTATGGGTTAAACGAGAGTAAGAGATGTCAGATTCGGTTGGAGAACTGGATTCGGGTATGGGGTGTTGGTTTCCAGCGACACGCTACTTCTTGTTGACATCAAGCCGGGGAACGTTAGGGGGATGTAAAAAGCCGCGTTGCATCCGGTTCGCCCGCTGTCCTCTATGTCCAGAAGTCGTAAAATTCAGCGTTATGCGATTCGGGGCCGGTGTTTTGTCCCTCTTTCGAGATTATGATTACCCCGGCAGCCACCGTGGCTAATATCACGCAATAAGCGCTCCGACTCTCTCCCTCTCCTCATTCTTCTTCGTCTCCCATCGGCGCCTCCGCTCGTTCGAGCACGCTCGCTCTCTCGGTTTCTGCCTCCTTTCCGCAGGTATATACATATAATATGTGCCACCAAACTCGGCTCGGTGTAAACGAGTATCCGGTGGAAATGCACGGAGAGTAGAGGGACGGAGAAAAAGAAGGATGAGGTCCGTCATCAAACGAGCCGCAGGACCTCCCGAGGTCGTCCCAACTTTCCTGAAGCGACTTCATCTTCGCGGTCTATTCCGAGTTCGAGGACTCGGCTGGAATTTCGACAGCCTTCGGTTCGCTCCGTTCCTATCAGGACGATAATTTTTATTACGCGCTTTAGCCCCGAGTCTCGGTCAGAATATTCACGAGTTATACCCGTGTTATCTCCGCTACCGTAAAGCGGGTCGCGATGCTAATGTAACAAATTTCGCGAGCCGTTACGACAACTTTGATGTTCGATTCTCGCGAACGTATAATCGCGATTAAACACAATTTTCGGGAGGCACGTTCCGATAAACGGACGTTAATGGCAGTTTAAAAAGTCGGGCCAGAGTTTATCAGCCAGTAAAACGTCGTCCCGACGTGATCGCGGCGGTTCGAGTCGATCAAACGATGACGAAGCACGTGGTTGGCACATGGTTCGAGGGGTGGCGTCGATTTTCGACGACCACAGGATCAACAGGTTCCGGTTATGAGAGTGTAAAGCGTTTTGAATCCAACCCCTCGAGGGGTATGTGATTCCTACGCGCGAATCTCGTCGTATAAAAGAGGGGCGAATCTCGATCCGCGGGGGGTCTTCTCCCTCCCTCTGCTGGTCTTCCCTCCTCCTCTTTCGTGTCACGTAGCATACAGAAGCAGAAGCAGAAGCATCGTGTCCTGGGGGCGACCCCAGACACACGGGGGTGGCTGACAGCCGATTAGGACAAGACGGGACGGCCCCCACGGAAAACTTAAAATAACATCGCTCGATCATCCGGGTGTCTTCGCCGACAGGACTACTCTTGTATTCAGCTTGTCCCCTCTTCGCGACCTTTTCAACGGGTCGTGATCCGTCTTAACACCTCTATCCTCTCTGGTGCGATAAAAACTTGTACTGCTCGTGTTGCATTTCAATCAAGAGAATAGGATTTTAATATCTTCAGTGATTGGAAAAATAAAATTGTTTCGTTGACGATTTTCGTTGCTGTATATAAGGAATGAGTTTCATTAAGAAACGGTGAAAAATTTTAAAAAGGCAGATGCGTTTTCCTGGAGTTCGGAAGCTGAACCAAGTCGAAGTTGAGCACCTCTTCGATGCTCATTACAGTGTGTCCCGCCCCCGGCTGCGGGTAATCAGGGTGTGCGGGAGAGCGAGGGACTGCGGGGGCGGTGGGTGACCTCGCCCGGGGCCTTTACTCTCCTCCATCGCCTCCCTCTTTCCTCTCTCTGTTCAACCGGTGGTTCGGTGGCTGGGCCGGCTCTTCTGCTCGATTCTTCCTGCTCTTCGACTACCTGCGAAGGTGACGGGGCTCGACGGCGACGTCCCTCTCTCTTTCCGTCTCCGTCTCTCTCTCGGCTTCATTCGGAATCGCGACCTTGCCGGTGCTTTGCATTCACCGTGCGACGACGTCGACCACACCGCCCCCTCTTTCTTCCCTTTCTTTCGTTCTTCGTCTTCCCATGCCCACCGTGTTTCTCCTGCGTAAGCGTAATTGGCGGAAGTTGCATGCGGGCGTGTGCCGCGTAAAACGTTTGGAATGTCGCTTGACGTTTTAATTCGTCGGACGTTTCAATTCTCTGCACCCGGGGGGGTGAAGAGTTTTCAGCGAATTTTCACAAACGTAACAATGAATCAACCGTTGCTTTTGTACTCAGTTGAATTCTACAAGCACGCGTTCGGAAGTCGAATAATAGATACGAACGGGGATGATGATCAACCTCGGATGAGCGTTAATGCGCCGGTACGGTTCCGGAGGATTGGTATTTTCGAGATAGGGAGGCCAATCAGCGCCGGGAAAGAGAGAGCCACCGGCTATTTGGCTGCGAATAATAATGATTACGGAGGCGCTCTCCGAGCAGGAAACGCCGCTGCCAGATGCTCCGAGGAGTGGAAGAGCCAACAGTTTTCGGTCGCCGGTAAGAACTATCTACGGTTCCCTTCGATCTGCGTACCATTCTCATCGAAAGGGAGAACGAATATCGTAAAGAGAGTTGATCGTTTACTTTTAGTTTACGCCGTCTTCGAACGAAGACGTTCGCTCTTGTATTTCTCTTTTGGCCATTGACAATGATCGTTCGACGTTCAGCTGCTCGCGTGAACATCTCTCAAGCGTTTTACCGTTTCCGCGAAGCTCGATTCCTCGAATAGACAGTCGACGGTCGGCCAGTTGAAATTACTCGAATTTTATATGCACGCCGTTCGATCGTTTCCAGGAAATTTTTTATACCCACGCGATTGTGCGTCCGCGATACGTAGACGCTCCGTTACGTATCGGAATGCGCTGTACGCGGTGGCGATCGCTCGTTTATCCCGTTACCGGGCTGTTTCTTTCCACGACGCACCCGGTTTGAACCCGTTCGCGATAGGTGTGCGGCGGAGAAAAACGCGGCGTCGACATGTCGTCCCGGGATCGTCTCGCGAGTCCTTTGACTATTCCGGAATGCTCGACCCGGTCTGCGTCGTTGATGCCTGAAACGATCCCTCTAGCTTCCTACGACAAATGACCGGCAGGAATTCCAACATCGTTGCGAAAAGCCCATTTACCTTCCATTCGTAGGGGCATAATTTCCTGCGAATCGTAACGCTGCCACGAGATAAGAATCGCTGATTGCCGATCCGATGAGAACCGCGTCCCATCGGGGATAAAGAAGGAGTCTGCCTCTTGTTAACATCCGTGTGGAAATGAGAAACGTTCGTATTCACCTTATCCGAGAGATCTCTCGGCTAACAGGTCCAATATCCGTGTTCACCTTCGTCACCTAACGTCATCAACCTTTCGGACTACCTGCGACTACCGTTTTCGTGGTAGCCATTCAAAAATTTACCTAAGAATAGAGAAGCTCGAAAAGTAGAAAAGCTTCACGGTTCTAGTTGGACGATCTCGTCAAAACAATCCCCGATGCATGGTAAATGCTTGTCGTTCATTTTACAAACAGTGTTCCATTAGTATCGAGAGACGACGAAGATTTAGACCGGAATCTGTCGAGTTTTTCGACGATACCCTGGATGTTGAAGGAGCGTCGAATCCGGATTCATGAATGAACTATGCGACGAGCAACGAACCGGGCCTGTAGGACTATTATTTAGCATAGCCACTTTTTCTGAACCGGTGCAGCGCTCGCAGCGGCGGCGGTGCGGCGTTGTCTTTGTATCGGAGGACGATGACGATGCACGCCGGAGACTGGGTCTATCTGGAGCAGGTTCACCCCTCGGGGAGATCGCCCGATGTAACTAATGGACGCCGCTCTTTTCCGTTGCGTTGCTTTGCCACGCTTTATTATTGTTATTGGGCCTCTACCCGCGCCACCAACTTCTGAATGTTCATCTAATTAAATTGGACGACCCGGGACGAACCGTCATGCGGGCGAATTCTCGGAAGAATATTCTAATTTCGTTCCACCGACAGATTTGCTTATACGTTTAAATTACAGTCGCCTCGACTCAACGAATTTCAGTTCCCATTACGAATCCAGTATTGTTGTTCAAATAAGAATTAAAATCATTCGTGTCATCGGTGCATTCGCAATTGCACGGTACCGCATTCATTATGCATCGCTCGCCGTATCATTTACATAATAGATACAGCGGAATAGTAAGCAGTAAATTTTCATTGATAGATCAAATTGGATGGTGATTTACTATTTCTGAGCTTTCGCCGAAATCTCGGTGATCGATTGGAGGGGCGCAGGATTTACAACAGCGATCCGGCGAGTGGAGCCGGCTCCTCTCGCTCGGACCTCGTACAGCGAGGCTAATCGACGACTAATAAAAGGCGGGCCGAGGCGGGCAGGA